TTTTTACTTTATGAAATGAGAATCATAAGTATTTTTCTAATTTTTCAATCAATTTCACTTTGTTACGAAAGTTATAGTATTTTTTAAAATATACTAAAAACACTATAACTCATATAGAAATCAAATTATTTGGATGTTTATTTTTGAAAATAGTAGACGCGATACTGAAGGCAGTTTCAACGATCCCTCCTTTCTCGCATGAGGGTTACAAACGATGATGCAGGAAGAATGTGACGATAGATTCAATCGAGATGACAATAAATTTGATAAAGGTAAAGATAAAATAATTTTTTCATGCAGCCTATAAAGATTTTTTTAAGTTGGAATGCTCTATCAAAAGTTTTCAAAGTTAAATTATATTTTTAAAAACTTATCGTATAATTTTTGGGCCTAAAGTAATAAATATGAAAATAGTTGACTTTGGAGGCATACATAACGACGGGAGTGGAAACAAAAGAGGGCAGATAGTTGCATACCACTCGTCCTTGTTTGTCTCTTTTTTCTTGCCTTCTTTTGGTAAAGGAATATACTTGTTTCGGTAAAATATACGTTTGGCATGCAAGCGGTGGCAGGGCACGGTTGGTTATGTTGTGTGAAATGACAGTGAGTAGGTGTGGTGATCTTGTGGGCTTTATAAAATGTGTTTTGGATGATCCCACCCCTTTACACACGATCAATTTAACGTGCAGTCAAACCAATCTTTAGTTCATTTGACAAAATAATTAGATAATATTATCTAAGAATGACAAGAAAATAATTTGGTCATACACAAATTTTCCTTATTTTTTGCAATATGGGAAAGGTTTATCGATCTAAGTTGAATACAGAAGTACTAATCTCACTTTTAACGGAAGTGTTATACGGTGGGCAGAGAATTTAGTCCATGTTAACGTTGGGCCCTTATGAAACACAATGCACCATATACACAAGATTATTCTATGCATCACCATAAATCAATATCAAAATCCTAAATCAAAGGGATTAATAATCTTGAAATATATATTGCACATGATCATCGAACATACCTGCAGATTGGCAGTCGAGTCCGGACGTACATATGTCTACTCACATTGAGGGGCTTTCCGTAGAATTGGGGGTTGAGATAGTGCAAGTGTCCGACAACAGCCAATGCATGAAACACTGACAGAAGAGGTACAAGCCAGCAGATTATTGCGGCAACTATGCTTGTTTTGCTGACCACCAGTTTAAGAAAATGTATCGGGTGAACAAAATTGTGCATGTAAAATGAGGTCAGAAGCTTGAGCATCTAAGAAGAAATTAAACTTATTGGGATCCAGAAGTCAGACTCATTCAGACGTAGTAGCCTGTGAAAGTGAATCCTCTTCCCACGATCTCGCCAACACAGGACCATGCATATAACTCAAGCCCAAACAGGGCAGCGATGCTGACATCCTCAACTTTCAGATCCTGCCTGTTTCTCCAGATGTGCTTCACGCCATCAAGCTCCTTCCAGAATGACTCGTAACGACCAGGAATGCTGTAGAGAGACAAGGCATTAGTACTGCAGATTGCTTGTTTTAAGACAAGTATGATACGATTGTAAATCTCATCCAAGTCCTATTATATATGGTTATGGACTCATGCCGAGCTAAGACATCTCATGATTTGCCTAGTACAAACAAGGAGAAACCCCATTTCAGAAGTTGAGAGGGAACACTAAGACTTTGCAATTCTGGGGGTGGGAGGGAGAGGTCGAGGAGTACAACAACGACCACAACAATAAAGCCAAAGTCCCCAACTATTTGGGGTACAAGGAAGGGTCCAGGAGTAGAGTCCCAACTGCTTGGGCTTGGCTACATAAATCTTTTGCCGTCACTGAGATATATAAAAGGAACAAAGAGTGAGGAAAGAAAATCTGAAAGAAAGGATAAAACAAAAGGGTAGGAGAAGGAATTCATGTTGGGCAGCTGCATAAGAATCTGCAATAAGGCATAGCATAAATAGTGCTAAACTCAGAAATGAAATAGTGCAGTAGGATGTAAGTACATCAAACAGCTATAATTTTTCCACATGACCACAGTGGAAGATAATTTTTCCACAAGTTAACCACCCAGCATGTGAAGTACTTGTCACCAACATCAACAAAGCTTTCAACAAATTAGATATCAGGGTGTGTGTAATTTGTACACAACACAATAAGTTCAGGCACAACAACGGGGAAAGAGAAACAATGTTTCTCAAGAGTGTTGGCACTCTCAGGCAGGAAGATTGAAAGCAAAGGTTTCAGCAATGATGTTTAAGGGGTTCTCTATCTGAATTCAACTCTAATTTGAAAACTAGCATATTGACCGGTAGCATCCTTTCCTAAAGATGCCAGTCTACTGAAATGATAGTTTGTTTCTAATTAAGCATAGGACCACTGTTTACACGAGATGAAATGAAGATAAAAGAGAGAACATAAATCTTTAAGATAATGATATTTTTTAAAAGTACAAAATCTGTTATAACTAGTAGAAAAAGTTATCACATGTAACAAAAGAAAAGGATGGAATATATGAGTCGTGCATATTTAAATCAAAATAACTAAAGCCTTTATTATTTGAAACAATAAATAGCCTTTAGGCATGATGCCTGTCATCTACAAGGCATCTTGGTCGTTCACAGGTGAACGATACAGATCACTAACTGTTAAAAGATTTTGAAGTTATTATTTTGTCAAGAATGAACAACAATCCACAATTCAAATCTGGAAATATTGAATTAGCTACTACAATCATCCTTCATTACTAAATTAGCTACTATTCAATATAGACAAATACTTGTCTCTCCCTCATAAATGATGCTAGTAGCCCACAGTGGGAACCGTGAAGAAACTTCAATACGATAACCAAAGTCTGTCAGAACACCTAAGCTATTGTCATGTGGCAACTTATCATATACTATAAAAGATTACATATATCTATAAAGTAACACCAAATTGCTAGACTAAGAAGTAACATGATAATCAAATTCAAGCAACACTGGACATGATCTTATCATCAATTTATTAAGATTAGGGTTAAACTTTCTTCTTTGACATGTAGTCTATCAACGGTAGGCATATAGGAGGACTTAAAGCAAGAGTTGAGAACTCAGTTTCTACTCGAGAACATAAAATTCGTTGCAAGGAGGAAACTAAGACAACTCCACCAAAGAACTTCCATTTGAGACTACGTGAAGCAATTTTCTGCACTAATGCTGGACATACAGGACATGTCCGAGAAGGATAAGCTGTTCAACTTCCTCGATAGTTTGAAGCCATGGGCACAACAAGAACTGGATCGAAGGAATATCACCGATGTGATCGGGACAATTGCTGCTGCAGAGAGACTCACCGACTTTGTTTCCTCTTAAGACCCGAGAAAAAGGAAACAATCTTCAGAAAATCGCCCCCCAAAATATTCTCTAGGGAAGGAGCCCGGGGGCGAACAAAGGAAGAAGAGTTCTCACAAAGGGCTAAGCTCAAAAGGCAAGGCCCCAAAACCTGACGGATGCTTCTTGTATGGAGGGCCGCACATAGTGAGAGAGTGCCCACAGAAACAAGCACTCAATGCCTTAACAGCTTCTATCCATCCTCCCAAATCGGACAAGGGCAAGGCTATCGCTCTTAGTTCGAGTAGTTCAGAATCCAGCAGCGACGATGAGGAGTCGCAAGGACCCCGGATGGGGGCAATGCGTTTGTTGAACGCTATGCGGGGTTAAGTGGGGGAGAACATGAAGACAAGACCGCAAAAAGCAGGAAGTAACGAGCTGATGTACATAGACATTAAGCTCAATGGTCAAACGACCCATGCAATGGTGGACACGAGCATTACTCACAACTTTATTGCTAATCGAGAAGCAAAGCGACTTAGGCTGATCTTGGAGAAGAACCCAAGTCGAATGAAGGCGGTAAACTCAGAGGCCAAGCGAATCTTCGGGTTGGCGGTGCCACTGGACGATTTCCAAGTGATTCTTGAAATGGAATTCATGCACGCGGCGAAGTTGGTGCCAATGTTGTTCCTAAACTCCCTATGTATAATGGGAGGTGACGACCCCTGTGTGGTTCCCGTCTCTCAGAGAAGAACCAAGGAACCCCAACAGATATCGATATTACAACTGAAGAATGGGGTACGAAAAGACGAATTAACATTCGTGGCTGCTATGAAGCTAGAGCCACTCGACGAGAAGGTCATTCATGAACCTGCTGTGGTGGTGAACGTCTTGAAGGAGTTCACAGATGTTATGCCACCCGAGTAGCCGAAGACTCTACCGCCACGCAGAGGCCTGGATCATCACATCGAGCTGGAGCCAGGAGTGAAGCCTCCAGCGAGACCACCCTACCGTATGCCCCCTCCAGAGTTGGCAGAGCTCAGAAAGTAGTTAGATGAACTGCTAAGCGGTGGTCTCATCCGTAGTTCTAAAGCACCATTCGGAGCTTCAATTCTCTTCCAAAAGAAACAAGATGGAAGCCTCCGACTATGCGCCGATTATCGAGCCCTCAACAAAGTGACAGTGAAGAACAAGTATCCAATTCCACTCATCGCGGACTTGTTCGACCAATTGGGCAAGGCCAAGTATTTCTCCAAACTCGACCTCCGATCGGGATATTGGCATGTGCGCATTGCTGAAGGCGACGAAGCGAAGACTACCTGTGTGACCAGGTATGGAGTGTTTGAGTTCTTGGTGATGCCTTTCGGTTTAACCAACGCTCTGGCCACGTTCTGCACTCTTATGAACCAATTATTCAAAAAGTATTTGGATAAAGTTTGTGGTCGTCTACTTGGACAATATCGTCGTCTACAGCCAAATGCTCGAGGAGCATATCGAGCACCTTCGGACAATTTTCAAGGTTCCCAGGAAGAACACTTTGTTCGTGAAAAAGGAGAAGTGCTACTTTGCTCAAACGAAGATCTTGTTTTTGGGGCATCGAATCGGGGATGGCTCCATCCGGATGGACCAATCAAAAGTGTAAGTTGTTGCAAAATGGCAAACTCCAAATAAGGTACCAGAGTTGAGATCCTTCCTTGATTTTGTCAACTATTATCGATGCTTCATAGCGGAGTATTCAAAGCGTGCAACTCCACTGACGGAGTTACTGAAGAAGGAGCAGTCTTGGAGGTGGGGTCTGACAAATGTGAAACTGCATTCCTAGAAGGAGCAGTCTTGGAGTTGTGTTGGAAGAACCGGTGCTCAAATTGTCGGACTATAGGGAGCCTTTCGAAGTCCATACAGATGCTTCAGACTTCGCTATTGGGGAAGTACTCATGCAGGAGGGTTATCTAGTGGCCTACAAGAGCCGCAAGCTCAACGAGACCGAGCGGCGGTATCCGGTGCACGAGAAGGAGATGACAGCGGTGGTCCACTGTCTACGAGTTTGGCGACACTACCTTCTTGGATCGCGATTTGTGTTGAGGACAGACAATATTGCTTTGAGCTATTTCCAAACTCAGAAGAAACTTTGCCCAAAGCAAGAACGATGGCAGGACTTCCTGGTTGAGTTTGATATAGCAATGGAGTACAAGCCCGGAAAAGCAAATGTTGTGGCCGATGTATTGAGCCGGAAGGTGGAGCGAGTGAACGCCATGTAGTTGGAGGGCAGAGGCCAAGCAAATCAATTGCACTCCAACTTCCTTTCCAGGATCAGGGATGGACTGTATAGTGATCCCTAGGTAGTAACCCTAATACAACTCATCAAAGAAGGCAAGATACGACGATTTTAGGTCTAGGAGGGACTCGTTTACACAAAAGGGAATAGGGTTTATGTTCCTCGAGTGGATAATTTTAGACGTGAACTCTTAAGAGAGTGTCACGATTCCCTTTGGGCTGGACATCCGGGCATTCACAGAACCTTGGCTCTCGTGGAGAGGGCCTTCTACTGGCTGAAGATGGGGACTGATGTGGAGGAGCTCTACGTCCAACAAGAGCCCCTTCGAGATCATTACAGGACAACAACCGTCGACTCCTCACACCCTGGCTATCGGATACACTGGGAGTAGTTCGTCAGCATATCACTTTGCCAAAGAATGGCACCGAAATGCAGATATTATGCGGGCTTACTTGGAGAAGACAGCCAAAAAGATGAAGAAGTGGGCCGACTTGAGAAGGCAACCACAAGAGTTCAAAGTCGGTGATTTGGTGTTAGTGAAGCTCCAACCAACATCACTCCAATTCTTTAGGAACAAAGTACACAAAGTATTGGTGTGCAAGTACGAAGGGTCCTTCCCAATTATCAATAGGGTGGGCAACGTTTCCTACAGGTTGCAGCTGCCGGCGTGGCTCAAAATTCACAATGTTTTTCACGCCAGCAACTTGAAAGCCTACCACTCAGATCCCCAAGATGCTTCCCGAAGTGTTCCAACTCGGCTACCTCCCCCCCCCCCCACCAGAGCCTCCTACGAGAAGCGAGTTGAAATCATTCTGGCGGATCGCAAGATAAAGCTACCCAATGGAGCTAAGCAGACCGAGTACTTGGTGAAATGGCAAAAACTTCCCTGAACTGAAGCCAGTTGGGTGCCCGAAGATGCCCTACGACATGAAGAAGCAATCATCAATAACTACCAACAAGCGTCAACGAGGGTGTCGACAGTTTAAGTGGGGGAGAATGTCACGAGCGATTGTCACGCACTCGCAACAACTTCGTTCAACGAACCGTTTGACATTTTTGCATGCTTGAACAAAGATATGGCAACCTGTTTTGCCTTGGTTTTGTGTGTTTTTGCTTGTAAAAATACATGTTCGAACAGGTTGCAGTGCACAGTGCCACCGCTCACCGCGCCGGGCCAAAAAACCCCAAAATGGCTCCGTTTTCGCGTGCCGCGGGCTATTTTCTGCAGCCCGTTGTAGCGCGCGAAATGTCAGCCATCTTAGCACCCTGGAACCCCCCGAGTGGCACAGGGCTGGATGGGGCTTCGGTATATTATCGGGCGTTGAACAATCTTCACAAGTTCGCACATTTTCTTGACGGGAACTTGCCTTCGCATCCAGCACCCGATGAGCAGCTGTTTATGGACTTGCAGCTGTTCATTCAACCTTCTAAAGTCCTTGTTTTCCTCCTTTCTTTGTTTTCTCTCATGTGCGCAAGGTGCTCACTGAATTGCTTGTAAAGCTTCCCTCTTCGCGAAACGTCGGGACTTGTCCGTCGCTCGTTCTTCGAACTAATCAACTTTCTTTTTTACAGGTCCTTCGGGACCTGAGTGAGGTTGCAAATTGGCTGACCTTTGCGGACGCATATCGCAAGGGCACGTCAAGACTTGGGCAATCCCAGCTAAGTTCGAGAAGTTGGCGCAAGGGTGCTTCGCGACTTAGGCAACGCAAGCTAAGTTCGCGTCTTGGCCGCAAGGGTGCCTCACGACTTAGGCAATTCCAGCTAAGTCCGTGACAATATGGGAACTTTATTTTGTTTAGTAGCAGCACAACACATACCCCATTAGTCGTACCAACACAGGAAAAATACAAAGGAAAAAAGCTTCAAGACATTCCACCATATCAGTAGCATCATGGAGCAGCTAAGACAGACTTTAAATTAGTCACTATTTTAAACTGTGAGACAGGAAGGAACAACCAAGTCTATGATATAGCCTCAAAGCAATAGGAAGAGAAAATTGAGGTTTAGGTTTCAATTTTAAACAGTCTCTAAAACTATTTGCACAGAGAACAGTAAACAAATAGCCACTGATATGTGATCGAGAGTAGATACAACAACAAGAAAAAGAAGAAGAAGAAGCCATAATTTTCCAACTATTTCGGGTTGGTTACATAAACTTTATCCTGTCATTGAGCTCTGCACAAGATAATATTTCTAGTTAAATCAAATTCAGTAAACCAATGATCCATTTGAAATCTCAAGTTTTGTGATGTTAGCAGGAAGATAACATGAAAAATATTTTTTTAATTGATGAATAACCAGAGAGTTAGATGACCTTAGAGAACAGTTCACGTACAAACCAACAGAATAAAAAATAGAGAAACTTCGAAGGAAAAAAATAAAGGATAAAATTATAAATATGGCCTCCAAAAAACTCTCTCTCGTAAGGGTGACTCATAGTTCCCCTTTGAGACTGATTTGATAGTCTGATAGATCTTTTACGCATTTTCTCAATCAGATGTTCTTCCGAGACTCACTAGGACATCAGCTTAAACAAAAATTAAATAAACTGAACAAAACATAATTAGCTTAAAGAAAAGCTGGTACCAACTCTCCATAGATGTGAGTCCCTGCATCTTACTTGACAGCAAACTTATGGTCTTATCACAATGTGTCTATACTGTGTTAGGCACCTTCAGTTATACATTTGATGCCATGTGAAGCACCCAAAGCCAGTGAACATTACAGGTAAGGACTCCTAAATTTGATCAGATTCCAACTCGTATACTAAGTCATTTCGAGTCCAAGTGAAATCAATTTAAGAATCAACTCTAGGATCCATTTCTCTCAAGTGATTTACTGGATCATTCTGACTTAACTGAGATCTTGATTTAGAAAAAAAAGGAAAAAACCATTAACAATTAGGTGCATCAATCCATCACAAGAAAACTAAGTGACATCTCTTTTGCTGGTCCAAACAACACAATTGCTATAGAACTTTACAAGAGGCATAAAGAGATTTGCTATGTCACCAATCATCATGTGACCAACGCCACAATGTAAGTCAGGCATCCTCTAGTTAGTGTTTTTATATGATTTCTAAACATATAAAAGAAAAAATAAATGTTTGCTAGGACTGAATAAGGAAATAAGATTCTGATTCAAAAGTGATCAACAAACATCCAAATGATAGAAAGAACACCAGATTACATTCAGAATAACACTTTACATGTATGCCATGCCATGTTCAGCGCGAAAAGTGCAGATATTTTCTTCACAAATCACAGATAATGAAGGAAAATAAAGCGACCTGTTAATCACTGGTGTCCTTTAGCTATCGCTCATATTCACAGTATAGCTACTCAATTTTAAACTTGAGTTGATATTTGACCTCAAATCACTCAATATTCCAAATGCTTTCCAACCAATCCCACCCATCAAAACCCCAATCTTCAGTGGTCTATATGCCCTATAAAGCAACTGACCAAAATGAAATCACATCGACATGAAGACTGACCTTGAAAGGCGTGTATAGAAGAGCTTCTTCGACAGATCTTGGCACGTCTCGATGGTTGGCGGTTGAACAATGTACTGCTTGTTCTTCTCCAACAGTTCCTTGTAGTAAGTGCTTCCATGCTTGGCAATGAACTCCGAGGCTTGAACAGCCTTCGACCGAAGCTGGTGCAACTTCGACGCCATCTGCTGCGCAAACAATCAGCACGCCGTTCTCATTGGTAGCGCTAAGAACTAAGACTATATCTACCGTCACAATCAACACAAATCTGCTCCAAGCAATCACCGAAATATCAAAAAGCCCCTAATAAGAGAGTAGGACAGAGGGAAAAACTCCTTAATTTATGGAATTAGGTGAAACCAAATCATACAAGGGCAAGCAGAATAACATAAGAAAGAAATTAAAGATCAACGAAGATCCATACGATTCCCAGCAGAGAAAGATTAGATCGCTGTGATCGGAGACCGAAAAAACCCTTAGAAGCATGGAAGATATGGAAACGAGAAGTGGGATTCACAGAAATTTCGATCAACAACTCAGTAAGGCGGAAGAGAAGTACCTCGGAATCGAACTCTGAAGGAGACGGGAGAAATGGGGATCGGCGAGTCGCGATGAGTCCTCTTTGCTCGATGAAAGGGGTAATATCGTGATTTTACAGGTGATGGAGGAGGAGATATCGGTCATTTCATCATTTTGGCAAATTTTCCGTCTACAACCTTATTTTAATAATTTTTAATATAACTAAATTATCTTTTTTATAAATGTATCAAAATATTCCTCTATTTTTATCCTTTTTTTTCTTCCTCCCTCTGCTCTTAGACTTCTATTTTTTTTCTTCTCTTTCTTTTTTCTCTTCTCTTAATCTTCTTATTCTTCTCCCGCAAGTAACATATTCGACGACGATAACAACTACACAAAATCGATTACAACGGTGTCAACGAAAATTAGTGATAAGACGAACAAATTGAGATTAGTAATTGATGACAGCGAACGATGAGGACATGGCCATGGTCACTTTTGTGTGACTATCGAGTGTGTAGACGAGCGATAAGAAATAAAAAATTAAGAAAAAAGGGTAAAGATAAATTTGACAGGTTATAAATAATAAATTATTTTTTATTATTTTTAAGAGATTATAAATAGTATGGAGTGTGATTATTAAGAAAGGGTTTTAAATAGTAATTTTTAAATTTTTTAAGAAGATTATTGTTTAAGGTTCAATTTTGTTATTTATAATTCTATTTATAATTTTTTAAATTTTAAATTAACTTTTATAAATGTACATAAACTTTTTTTTTTTTTCTCATCTTCTTCCCTTCGAAGAACAATATTGAGCGAAGTTAGACAACATTGACAACAAGCGATATTGATGATGAGCAACATTGACAAATGACGATGGAAATGACATTAGCAATGAGGATAAAAAATAAGAGGTCATGGGGATTAAAAAAAGATATTGATAACATTAGGACTATAAATAGTAAAATAATAATTTATTATTTTTTAAAAAATAAATGTAATAATAAAGTAAAAGTAAAAAAAGGGACAGCAAGTACTAAGGCTTTTCCGTCAACCTCATTATATTAATCATGTAATATATATATATATATATACTGATTTTAATTATATTATATTTATAATTGGAGAAATTGTATCATTCATTAGTTCTTAAATTTTATATATTTTAATTGGATTTCAAATGTTCATTTTTGATCAATTGACCAATTTGATATGAATATCAAGCAAAATTGTCGCTACATGCACTCATATTGATCAATAAAACAAGCCAAGTAAAGTTTGATATGTTCTAAATATTAATTTTGAGTATATGTTGTATGACTTTGCAGCTAAAATATTATTTTATATTATGCTAGCAATTAACTCATACCATGGAATTAAATTATTTTTAATAAAAAATAAAAATGCAGGATTTAATTGAAACATTGACCAAGTTCAAAAACTTAATTAACCAAATTTAAGTTTAATAATAATCGTTGAATCTTGGATTTTGACGATGAAACCAATTGATGAATTTATAATCTAATATGTATTTTGAGTGACGTAGGACTAGCTTCGATCATGAAGAGATAATTTGATTTAAGCAAGAAGAATCAATGTTGGGTCAAAGTGAAACATTTTAGAAGATTGGACGTCGAGCCGCACTAAGAGGGGGGTGAATTAGTGTAGTGATAAAAATTACGTCGGTTCAAAATTTCGTTGTGATTAAATCTGTTTCCAACGAAAAACCGTTTCGTAAAGGTAATAACTTTGAAAGTGCACAGAAGAGCGTAGTGGATGTAAAGCAAGTAAAGTGATTTGAAGTTAAAGTAAATTGCTCAAGAGAAATGCAAACCAAATTTTTATAGTAGTTCAGTCATCGTAACCTACATCCACTCCACTGATTCCTTTTCCGTCGAGGCCATTGGCATCCACTATCGGTCTTCCTTCAATAGGCGAAGACCAACCACTTTTTACACTCATTTTCTCCTTTTCATAGGTTTAGGAGACAACCTTTTACAATCCTCTTTTACAAGGTATCCCTCTCGCACCTCCCTTAGAACTATCTTTAAGCTTTGGGAGGAGGGAACTAAGCTTTCTAAAATTTATAACTTTAGAATTACAAAGTTTTGCTCAATATTTCTTGCTTATCTATGCAGGAATAGCTGGGGTATTTATAAGCCCCAAATGGATTCAAATTTAGAGCCCAAAATTCAAACCCCCGAAATTTCAAGGTACGGGCGGTACCACCGCCTGCAGCCTGACACTAGGCGGTACCACTGCCTAGACAGTCTTGGAGACTATGCCATGACGGTTTCACATGTTTGGTCACTGCTTGGGCCTTTCTCGTGACCCAACACAGCCCAAACTTGGCCCAACTGTCCTCTAATTGGGTTGGCCTAATTCTAATCCCTATTATGTGCTAACTATAAATTTTAATACATATACTAAGCTAAATAAAGTTCGTAAGTCTAGGTTTCTTCCGATGAGCTTCCGGCGATCTTCCAATGAACTTCCGACGATCTCTCGGTAATGTTCCAGCGGACTCCCGACAAGCTCCTAGACTTCACGATGATCTTCTTGGCGAGTTCGACGAGCTTCTTTAGCAAGCTCCAGGACTTCTCGATCAATTCCAATAGAACTTCTGATGAACATCCGAACTTCCGACGAACTCTCGAACTCCCAACGAAATCGCGTTCTTGACTCCGAGACTTCATTTTGCTTTATGCCTTGCCATCGTAGTTAATCCTGCACATGTAAAAACACACTTTGATCTAGACAATTATTACTAAGCATGAATCATGTTGTCCGGCATGTTATTGGTCCATCGACGCTTCGTCCGATTCTTCGACGCATTGTCCTCTCTTGCGGTGTATTGTCCAATCGGCAAGTTGACCTTCGTAACTTCGATATCCTTGGTGCAATTTCCGCTCTTCTTAGCCCGATGCCCGAATCCATGGCCCGAAGCCTTCTATCGATGTGTCATCCGATCCTCCGACTAGACATTCAATCTTCTGACATGTTCTACCGACCCAACATGATTCTTCCTGCTTTAATTGTCTCATCCGAATAGAAGCATCCTGCATCCCTCAAAATGCAGATCAATTCATAAACACTTACCAATTGGTTTCATCATCAAAATCTAAGATTTAACAATCTCTCCCTTTTTTATGATGACAACCAATTGATGACGGAGTTTAAACAAACTCCCCCTATCGATATGTCATATTGATAGAGACTCTTGGATTCAAAAATTTAAGCAACATGTTATCATAAACTTATGCATAACATCATACTTCTCCCCCTTTGTCATCAACAAAAAGAAGAAGTACAACTAGCAAGTGTTTTTAGATATTAAGTTCAAATCATTGCATAATAAATCTCAAGTTTTATCATCATTGCAAGTTAGCAAAAATTTTGAGTCTTACATCATGTAAGCTAGCAATATTTAAGATGTTTAAGAGGGCAACTTTTGCTTCTTGAAATATGCAAGTTAGCAATCTTTGCTTCTTTTTTTAGATGAGCAAGCTAACATGTTTTTGCATCTTCTTGACTTCAAGCTAACAAGTTTTCCTCTTTTCATGATGTGCAAGAAAATTCTTTCTCTCCCTTTGTCATTGGCAAAAAGAGGAGAATAACAAAATAATAGTGTAATTCATCAATTCTTAAATTATGACAAAAATAAAGTGTCATTCTTATTTCAATATGCCATAATTGAGATAAATCTTAAATTTAAATTTAATTCAAGTCAATGCAATTTTAATCATGATTCCCATACATGATACATGATATGCAATACATCAAATACATCATCATAATAAAATCATAAGTATTGCATGCATCATTTTAGAATAAGCTAGCAACTTTGCTTCCTAGAAAATTTTTCTCCTTGCAATTTGTGTGCTAGCAAATTTTACACATAAAAGTTTGGCAAAATTTTTTTATATCTTTTGGGATAATCTAGCTTTTTGCTTCTTCTTGAAGTATGCAAGCTAGCTAGCAAGCTAGCAAAATTTATCCCCTTTTGTCATTATCCAAAAAGAAGGGAAGAAAATAATTTTATAATTTTTTTTCTTTTACAATAATTTTCAAATCATGACAAAGGTAAATAACAAAGATAAAAAATCAAGTCATGAATGTCAAAACAATTTTTTTATCATGAATATTTCATCATTGCATGTATCAATATCATAAGTTTGAAGTATTGCATGCATAATACCAAATCACCATTCATAATTACATCAATATTCTGATCATTATTTCAATCATAAAAAAATCAAGTCATGAATGTCAAAATTATAGTATTACATGTATTCATATCATCACATGAAGAATATCAAGAAGAACTTGGTGATGAGATATACTTCATTTTTACAAGGAATTTTACATAATAAAATTCAAGTCATAAACCTTAAAAGATGTAAGTAGCATATCATGATTTATTAGAATAAGTCTTCTTTTTGGTGAATAGAAAAAAGAATAGTAGGAGAACAAGAATAAGATCTTGATTCATAGAAAAATTTCAAGTATCAATATTGAGAATTCAAGATCATGATATAGATGAAGATATTCCTATAGCAAAAAGATGTCATGAGAGAACAAAAATATCAATAGATATGATTCACTTTGACAAATCTCATTTTTAGTAAATAACAAAAAGAAACATAGGAGTACAAAAATAAGATCTTGATTCATATAAAAATTTCAAGTATCAATATTGAGAATTCAAGATCATGATATAGATGAAGATATTCCTATAGCAAAAAGATGTCATGAGAGAACACATAAATGATCTCGATTCATGTATAATATCTCTCAATTCATTATAAATCATAAAAATTATAATTATGAAAAATCATGATTCATTTAAAAAATCTCCTCTTAAGAAAATACCAAGTAGAATCGAAGAAGAATGATTAAAAAAAATCTTGATTCATAATAAATCTTAATTTGTAAATATCAAGGAATCAAGATCATGATTTGGATAAAAAAAAATTTATTCTAATTTAAATCATCAAATCATCAAAATCACTTTCATAGTTCAAGAGATTCAAAATAATATAAATATATATTTTAATCTCTTATTCAAAACTCAATAAGATAGAGATGTTTTATTTTAAGTTGTTAGTTTT